GCCCAGGTGTCCATGAGTAGGGAAAATGGATAAATAACTGTGATATAGTCGTCCATGGAATACTGTTTAGATATAAGCAGAATGAATTACTAATACAAACAAAACCATGGGTGAGTAAAATTATGCTCAGAAGCCTTATCCAAGGGTACAAACTTGGACTCCAATACATGAAGAGCTACAACAAGCAGAAGTGACCCATGTGGAAACACATCAAACGTTGGTGTTTCCAGAGGTCGAGGTGGAAATTTACTCAGAAGAGACATAAAGGACCTTTTCGAAATGATGGTCATGTTCTGTAACTCAAAAGGGACTTGGATTGTACGCATGTATGCACTTTTCTGAACTCATATAATGGTACCCTTTGGATCTGTGCATTTCATTGTACAGAACATGTCTCAAAAGATAAAAAAGAACCTACACAAATATTGAGCCCCATTGATGATACACACCCCAAAGCATTTCAGCTTCCTTTGCCATGTGTGGACAGCACGACAGATCGACGGAAGGCTAGAAGGGCGGGCCCTCAAAGAGCTGGGTCAAGAGCACACATAGTAAAATGTTGATTGTAGAATTAGGTGTTCTTTATGATTGAGATTTTCATACTAAAACATCGGAAAGCGGTTTTTGATCTGAGACATGTGCTATCAATGTCTACATCTCAGTTTCTATATAGTACTTACTTCTCAAGGTTGAAAAGTCTAAGGAAAAAATGCTACCAAGAAAGGCCTGGTGTATAAATGTCCACATGCTGCGTGATGTTGTTGCTCCTTCACGCCCTCTTACCTGTCTGGTCAATGTGTAATTTTTTACTTTAAAACAAAAGCTTACTATGTTTATGATCCTGTGGGACAGTTGGATGGTCCCTCCACTCTGTGGTGGTGACCGCTGGGACATCATGCTGTTGCGTTCAGGGGAGAGTTTGCCAAGGCAGATTCCCCCACGTGTCTGGGGCCTCAGCTCAAATGGAGTTCTGGAGGCTGGAAGTCCAAGATCAGGGTCTCTGGGCAGTTAGGTCCTGGTGAGACCTTTCTTCTTGGCATGTGAATGGTCACCTGCTTGCTGTGTGTCCTTGCGTGGCCCTTCCTCAGTGTTTTGACGCGGAGTCAAAGAGATCGCTCTCACTCTCTTCTTATCAAGCCATCACATCCCTGCATATCAGTGTGTGTTGAATGAGTAAGAAAACAATGGTTGGGTCTTCTGTGGTACAAATCATGTTGCCAGGCAAAATCTTCTGAGAGCAAATGCTGGTTATGCCATCTACTTCCTGATTTGCACCGCCAGGAATGGAAAGTCACCACCAGGTGTCACCGTCAGGAATGGAAAGCTCAAAGACGAACTGGGCAAGGTTTGGCTTCAATCCTAAGAAGACCTCCCCACAGGAGCTCAGGGAGGCTGTTCCTTCCTACAATATGTAGTTTTGGATTGCATAGCATTGCCTATGAACAAGTGGTCCAACATGGCACGTAGCAAACTTAGTGGGGCTACACGGGTGCACTGTCTGCTGATTATACATTGCTTGGATGGAACAATAGTTTTTAATGATGGTAGTGACTCAAACTCCATGGAGGAGGGATAGCCTTTGGTGACACTTATTTTAAAGAGACTGGCAGAAAGGACAAAGCATTATACACAATCTGCATGTGGGTTTTGCTATTAAAAAACTAAAGGAGTTATTCAGCTCATTAGAAACGCCATTGTGAATGCTCATTTACTTAAATATTTATTGAGGGTCTACTACACGCCTGGTATTGTGCTCGGAGAAGGGGATACAGAGATGGACTAGTGCACGAGACTGGCACGTGCCTGCCTTCTTGGAGTTTACATCCTGGTAATGCTAAAGTTAGTTGGATTTGTAGGGACTGTTACCTGACAGGGGACCTGGCCCTCAGAGGGTCTGCATAGGGTTGGCCTGTAGCATGTGGGTTCTGGACTTCACGCAGGGAAAATTTAGCAACATAAGTTCGGGTGATTTTGAGAGTATGTTTATTGAAGCTGGGGACAGTGAAACAAAGAAAGTAGAAGAAGCAACGAGAGAGCCCAGGTGAGGCAACTTTAGCTCTCCAGAAACCCTACTGAACAGACGTGAGCCCAGGCAGGGCCGCTTTAGCTAACTGGGAAGTCAGAGGAAAGGGGGTCTTGGAGACAGGTTCAGGAGGTTATGCTGGGACCAGCTGCTGCTGCCCATTGCTCCTCTGCTTGCACGTCTCATGGGGACCCTGAGAGTTTAAGGGAGAATTCACTCAAAATGAAGATTCAGGTGAGTGTGCCCCCTTGGAGGGGGTGCCAGTTTCCTTGTCTCTGGGGGTTTTATCTCTTTTTCCTAAGGTAGGAATTTTAGGGGAGGTCTGGGAAGATCTCAATAGAATATTCATCAGCTTTTCCAGGGTCATGGTTTCTACTGATTGGTCAGCACCAGGGCGGGGGGGACTTATCCTCATGGCAAATGATACACCAGGGGAGGAAAAGCCACAGGAGGGTGGGCAAGGTCTGGCTGAGCCTTTGTATCTGGCTGTGAATTGCTCAGCCAGTTTGTTCAGCTCTGTGTCTCAGTTTCCCCGTTCTACTTGCCAAGAAATTTTCCTAGTTTTTTACTAACCTGCCTCGAGATCAGTTTTTTAGCAAACAAATATTCACTTGGCATTTACTCTGTGCCAGACACTTGGAATATCACAATAAACCAAACACAGACAGTGCACATGCTCATGAATCTTCCTACCTAGAAGATTAGGTAGGTGTAATAAAACCACTGTGTGTAACTATAATAAGTACATTATAAGCATGCAAAATACTGTGAAGGGGAACAACAGGGTTCTTAGAAAATTTAGGCAGGAGAATATTCCCTTCTAGGCTGGGTAAAAGTAATTTTCTTCCTAAACTATTTTTGAGTTAAGAAAGTTGTCACAGACCAGAGATTGGGATCTCTGTGGGCCATGCTGGGCCAACAATGGAATGTCAACAGAATTTGATGCGGCAAGGAGCATTGTGGCCAGTTGCATTGTTTGCTTAATTATTTTCATTTCTTGTAGGTTTATGCCTTAGGAGTCCCAGTATGGCTGGGCTATAGGCAGCCGAGTGAGAATCATTGAATTGCTTTTAGCCATTGAAAGGAATTCTGGAATCAGGTTTATCTTTTGCCTAGTCAAAGACTACACAAAACACCCAACGCTTCCCTGGTGCCAAAAAGCTGCTGTAGAAACAGAGCCTGAGATTAAAAACAAAGCAATCATACAATTGATTCATTGCAAGAACATACTCCCCCCCCCAGCCGAAGTCGTTGGCTCGGAACAGCAAGAAGATAGAAGTCAAGAAAATATGGAGGAGACCTGATGAGAAATATGTGCCTGACAAATAAAAATCGCTGCTCCTACAAAAATTGCTGGGTATAAATAAAAACTAAAGCGTCACCACGCTGCACATTCCTGAGTGCGGACAAGCTGATCCGTGCAGTTCTGAACTACTCACCTCTTCATCGGGAGGGGCTGGGCTGTGTCGGGAGACTTTCCATTTTTCAGCACTATTAGCAGACGCGCAATAGGTTACATAATAAATGCTCATTGAATTATTTCAGGTTTGTTTTCACGGGCTACCTGATTCCCTGAAGGATAAGAAACATAGACAAATGTCTAGTGATTACCAAACAATGTGCAAATGATAAATACATTTAAAGCTGTGTTATGATCCAGCCAAAATACTGAAGGTGGGTCCCATGTGGGTCAGCTTCTGCCTCTGGAAGCACAAACTTGTCCACAGGAATGACTCGTCTAAAAGCCATAATGCATGGAAACTTCTTAAGGTCAAGAGTGGCTGAAAGGAAGCCAAGAAAATCAGAGAAGGGTAAGTTGGAAGTTTATGGTCTCAGAGAGCTATGGCATCGGACACCTGACCAATGTCCGATGCTTGTCCTCTGGGCACCGCCACTGACTCACCGTGAGATGCTGGTCAGGTTCCTCAGCCTTCATTTCCTCTTCTGTAATAGGAACTTCTGCCTCACAGAATTTTGATTCCCTCAAAAGAATCAACTGAGTTCACACCCTTATCACTATTTGTGGCACATAATAGGTGCTCCATAACTTTTAGTTTTCACTCCTAATGGTTTTCTAAAATACTTCTAATTTCTGCTCGAGATTTTTCAATAAATGTGATTTGCTGAATACATAGCCAAAGGCAGCTGTCAGAACTCTGTAAAACCTTTTATATAGAGATATTCAAATATCAGAAAAAAATCCTTTCTCACGGCCTGGTTTCGTTTCCGGTTATGGGATCGTCACGCCCACACCCAGGGGCTTGTAGTCTGGCCTCTGCGAACTGGAGATGCCCGCCTCCTGGAACCAGACTATCGCACAACCTGGAGGAAGACGGGGTGGGCTCCTCCCTTAAAAGACAACTGAGCATCAATAACCTGGATTACTTTGCTCTGATCCCAGAGCAGAAGTCCGCAGAATGTACCCGTTGCGAGTGTGTGTCTGTGCGCGCTTGGTCTCAGGCCTGGGTTTGTCTGGCAGGCCTTGGAGAGGGGATACAAGAAGCATCCACCTGGAGTAAAATCCGGTTGAAACAATAAAGATGTTTTATGCTTTGTGTAAACGGATAAGTGTCACGAGTCTTGGCATAAGAGTCTTGCTGAAGATTTGACACACTTTCCCTTCTGGTATGTGTTGGCATAAACTGATCCTTTCTCTGCAAGATTAACGGATACCATCTGTGAGTATTCTGGGCCCGCACTCTCAGCCTACGTTTGAATCTGCCCGTTTCTTTTCCGTGCCTCTTTTCAAAGGTGCAGGACTCTGAGCGTTAACGGCCAAATGCAGAGTCGGAGCTCCGTTTCTTCCCAAGCCTTTTAACCCCCAGCGCCCAGCCCTGCGTCTGAAGGCACAAACAGCCCTCGGAGACAGGGCCCTCCCACTGCCTGTGATAGGCTGCTTGGAATAGCAACAGCCTGTGTCACCGAAAAGGGCAAAACCTTCAGAAATAGAAACAAAGTTGGTCACAAATCACATTGGCTTTGCCTGAAGTTTTTTTTTTTTTCACCTTCTTAAGCATGCGACCATGGGGCAAGTGACCACTGTTGCCACGGGGGGGAGTGGTTTGGTGCCGAAGCAAAGGCTGTAACTTCTACCATGGTACCTGTTGAAAACACAGAGGCCCGCGGTCGCCTGAATCCGCAGGGGAGACCAGCCGAGACTGATGGCAGCGACAGAGCCAGCGGCCGCCGGCATCCTCCCTGGGCCAGAGGTAAAGTGAGGCAGATGGGCTCCGGTGACCGGCTAGAGAAGCAAGCGGAACTCGCGTCTCAATCGTGTGTGTGTGTGTGTGTGTGTGTGTGTGTGTGTGTGTACACGGGAGCTTGCTAGGTGCACCGGGAGAAGGAGACGGGATCTGGTGGGAGGAGTGATAAGGAGCTGCAATTCGGAGACTGAAGCCCCGCAGTTCTTAAGCCGAGTCCCATCCGCGGTGCTGACAATGTGATGTGTAAATCCTTTTTTCACTTTGGCACGATTGACCGGTAAGATAGTCCCATGTGTAAACACACACGCACCCGCAAATGCACACACACACACACACACACACACACGTTTTCATTTGTTGTCTCACACAGGCAGCCTGTAACAGCTGCACATTCTAACAGCCACTTTTAAAATCAGGTGAAGTAGCCTTCATAAAATGCTTAGTTACATAATCAATGAACACAACTTTGTTTGTAAGTTCCCAGCATCTGTTTGTAATGAATTGGAGCTTTATTCTGTTTGGAGCCTAAAACCATGGCTTCCTTGCTCCTAGTTCTTTAAAACTAGCCTTTTGAACTGAGGTTTAATACTCTTTCTCTGAGAGGTGAAATTCGGAAGTTTTCAATTCATTTCAGTTATGTTGCTACACCAAACACTTTTCTTCACTTCCACGTTTACAGTTCCCACAAACGCGTTGCACGGTTTTAGTCGCCTCTTCCTATTCATTCAGTTTGTTCTCAAAAGATTAGAGATGAATAATAATAGAAATGAAGTTAAACGCAAATAATTCTCTCCTTCCTATGGCTTTTCTCAATTCTGCTCCCCACAACTATGTAATGCATTCCCAAGCCATATATTGGAATTTCATGAAAAATCCAAAACACCAAATGATAAAGAACGCTTTTGCCTGGGAATGAATCTACCTGCTTTTGCCTTGGGGGTTTGTCTGATCTCAGCATTCAGTCTGTGACCTCTCTGACTGAGGCACCTAGTGGTCCGTCTGGGGAACTGAGACGCTGTCATTCTTCCCTGCCCGGCTCCGTGCTCAGCCTTCTCTTGATTTCCCACTTCCACTCAAGAATGAATAATACCTGGGGTCATCTGTCAATACAGCCTAGGCCTGAATTAAGCAAACCTTTCTCTAAGCATGTTCTGTGGCTCCTGAGTCTAAGAGCAGGCGAGGGAAGCTTGTTCTTGGGGGGGCGGGTAAGGGAGAGAGTTACAAGGTTCGAGTGAAACGTCTCAGGATTGAGCTGAAGGACAAGCTGAGGCAGTGACATCAACAAAAAAAGTGAACTAAAAGTGAACTAAAATAGTGCCAGTGATCATGGCACAAAGAAGATGAAGAGAAACCTTTTCCTGGAGGGAGCTCCACCGTAACAACTAGAAATTGACTATTTAATTTTGATACGGCTTTGAAAGCACAGTGGACTCTGAGTAGGTTAAACTATGCAAGTTCACAGTTAAGTGAGGGAAGGTAAGATGTGTGTATATTTGCAAAGGTTGAATACATGCACAGAATTTAAGGTGCAACTGTTCGTGTTGAAAAGACATTATAAATGAATAATACTCCAAATAAATTACATATTAAATGAAACTTTATTATGTAGAAGAGGGAGCCTAAATGTTTCCCTAAAAGTTTAAGTGAATAAAACTTTGATTTGTGCTATGTATAGTTTTCATTTAGATGAATGCAAGCCTTTTATTATTACTACTTTTGTATTACTTTTGTAATTCTTCTAGGTTGTGAACATCTATCTCTTGGTACCCAAAGGCAATACATACATACATACGTGTATAATGAATGCATGGCCCAGCACTCACTCTGTGGTTTTCACAGCTTACTTAACCTCAGCTGCGGGAATTATATTTTAATCTGTTTTATGAAGATGTTGAGACTTAAAATAATATTGACAAATGCTTCTTTTGACTTCTTTGTATTTTAAAATTCCCACAGTTTCATTCAGAGTATGAAAATATGCTTAATAATTATCATACTATTCCCGCATTTGAAGGTAGCAAGTCTCTCTCTAATCCCAGATGAAACAATTAAAGCACAAAGAGGAATGAGTTTTACCGTCCAAGACCAGGCAGTTAAATCGTTTGAGATACGGGAAAAGGAAACAAGAGTTCTAAGCTCTGTGACTGCATCCCCGATGCTATCACACACAACGAAAGGGTTAGCAGTTGCTCCCCCACCAACACCTTGGAACCTGGGAGGAGTGCTTTGTTATAGTGACTAGGCACTAATGAACTGAAATTCCCTTTCAAAAATCAATGACTCTAAGTGGCTACATTTTTAGTGTATGTTTCAGTATTCATAGATCTTTTTAAAGGATTTTATTTATTTATTTTTAGAGAGAGGGAAAGGGAGGGAGAAAGAGGAGGAGAGAAACATCAGTGTGTGGTTGCATCTCGTACACACTCTACTGGAAACCTGGCCCACAACCCAGTCATGTGCCCTAACTGGGAATTGAACCTGCGACCCTTTGGTTCACAGGTTAGCACTCAGTCCGCTGAGCCATGCCAGCCTGGGCCATAGACTTGTTATAATTGACTCAAAAGGGCAGTCTTGAACTCAATTGAAATCCTGGTTCTTAGAGCCAACAACAGGTATAGGTGGAGTGAAAAATGTGGTGTCCTGGGACATGTCACCCAAAAATAACAGGAGGCCAGAAAACGTGTGATGGGTCCAAGTTCATGCAGTGGCTGGAGCAAAGCTGACCGTAGCCACCTCTGGCCCAGGCCTAGTGCCTATTCCTCTAGTCAGACACTGGGTCTCCCAGGCTCTTCAAATTTCAGGATTCAAACAACTGGCTGTGGGGGAGCATTCCTTAAGCCCTTGTACACCCCACAAGCACTGTTTCCCCCCCTTGGATCTGCCCTAAATGTCAGAAGCCAAGAACAGCATTCATTGCGTGAGTACAGGTTCTCAGTACCACAGGAACAGCTGCCAGGTGAGCTGGAACCCAATCGCCAGGACCGGGCTCGCTGACCCAGCAGAAAGAGCTGCACTGCATGCTCCCTAACATCCTTCTGAACCTTAGATGCCGCAGTCTGAGATTTAGTAAACGCACACCTCCGCTAATCACTTAAATACTCTGAGGCATTCTCAAATACGTTTAAAGCTGTGAACTTTTTACAAATGGGAGCAGAGTAGGTGGCCATGGCCCACTCTAGTGGGAAGAGGAGAGGCGGAGAAAATAAGGCCCTGTGTCCTGGCTGCCTCTGTTCCCTACCAGTCCTTATAGCCCCAGCAGGCAGACTCCTGGTTGGGGATCCCACTGAGCAAAACACAGGCCCACCAATACTCTGGGTAAGCAGGCATGGTTTTTTTGGGGGGGCAGGGGGTTGGGGCATATTTACATGTCCCTACTGAGCACTGGGCTCCCAGATTTAGCCTGACCTGACCTCCTTTCTCGGGCTTCCTTGGGCAGCCCAAGGGAAAGTCTACTTATAAGAGAGATGGAGAAGTTGGGGACCAAATTTATCCCCAGAAAAGAGAAAGTCAGCCCAACCAGCTTGACCTAATAACAGGGCATTAGTCGTGGGAGGAGCAACTCCAACAACAGACCAGTCACTTTGGAAGAACAAAGAGGAATGGCCATTGTTCCCTGCAGAATTCCCAATTCTACAGCCTTTCCATATATTAAAAGTGAAGTGACAAAATCCATGACAAAAATCACTGTGTTTTAAAAACACGTATTGAACACATCAGTGTCTGATAACAACAAAAACAAATTGTGTGTAGCTTGACATTCCCAAAGATGTGACTGGATTTATAGACATGTGAACTTATGAGGGCCTTACGGACTCTTTTGTGTGGAAATAAGGCCAGATTTAAAGTGAACCATCTCCCCTTTTTACTTCAGTCATTTATCTCTTGTTGAGTGGCTAGAAATCACCTCAAAAGTCTAAAGTTGAGGCATTTCATGACTAACGCCTGGGCTAATGGCTTCTCCAAGATCTAGGAAGGGAGAAGGCTCTGAACGAACACGGCAGGAGCTGTTTCAGGAAATCTCTGGGTGGTGTGGGGCTCATTCAGATCTTAAAGAGCTCTCATTCCCCTTTAAGATCATGTCACCAAAAAACGGCAGACAGGTTGCTCCTTGCCACAGACCCCCTCTTGGCTGCCACAGCAGCATCAGACACACATTGGTGGGAACCTGCGGTGGCAGATCCTGACACTCATGGACAAAGGCAGGCTTGGCTGGCTAGCTCAGTTGGTTAGAGCATCATCTGGTTATGCCAAGGCTGTAGGTTCAATCCCTGGTCAGGGCACATATAAGAAACATAAATTCATAAACAATGAACGCATAAATAGGAGAAGCAACAAAGTGATGCTTCTCTCTCTCTCTCTCTTTCCCTCCCCCTTTCTCTCTCTTTCTCTCCTGAATCAATAAATAAAACTTAAAAAATTACTTGAAAGTACTGTGGTACCTCGGTACTCATTGTTAATTCATTCTGGAACTCGTGATGAGGGCCCACACCAATGAGCACCAAACGATGAAGCATTTTCCCTTGCAGTGTGACTCTGTGACTGCTACAAGTTCTAGCAAGTGTAATAAGACCTGAGCAAGTGCCAAGTACTGAAACATTTTTTTCTCATCAAAATTCAATGAGTATAGGGATTGATGAGTTCTGAAGCCAATGAGTACTGAGGTATGACTGTATTTTAATTAAAAACAAAAACAAATAAACAAACAACAAAAACCATGGATGAAGGCAGGCCAAGGAGCTGCAACAAGTGCTGCTGACCTAGATTGACTGAATTAGTTGGCAGACTTAGTGTGTGTGGACTGGTTTGATAGTCAATGTGTATTCTGATAGATCAGTGCCCCTGTTCCAGTTGTTAATTATTTTAAACATTACCCTTCTCTCAGTAAGATTGTCAGTAGCAGCTGAGGCCTGGAGAGCCCAAGAACATGCCTTATAGTAGCTGATAAGACTCTACTGTGAGCCCTTGAGACATATTCTTTGCAAATTCTCGGAGGGTAACTTTCTAGT